GAAATCCTCCAGGAGCAGCAGGGAGGCACCGAAATGTAACAATTATTCGTCGAAGACCCCCAGGGGCCTCAGGCTGCGTAGATGGGACCCCCTCTCCCGCCTCAGTTTTGCAGAGGGCCCACTCTACTGAAGGGGCTTGACTGGCCACAGTTCTTTTACAGCACCTCTCTCTGCGCCCACACCTGTAAAATAGCAGCGCTAAGGCCAGGTATTGCTTGTCCAACAACTCTTCGCTAGGCTAAGCCATGTCTATGCCAAATCACAGCCTCCAAAAAGCTGCCTGGCCAAGAGAGGAATCTCTTAACGTACAGCTTGTAATGGAAAAATGCACAGATCCAAAAAGATGCAAAGATGCGTAATCAGAGTGGCACTAGAAAGCATGATTATAATTACACCCGTGATTAGGAGGGAAAGGGGGAGGAGGAAGACAGAGAGAATGCAACAAGAAATTTGGTGGAAACTTCTTTAAAATAATTCCCATACCCAGATAATCACAATATTGTTGCTGTACTGTCAAAGCTTCCCAAGTGACAGTTTTCAATGAGTGAAGATTGCATGATTGGTCTCTTTGGGGTGGTTTTGTTTGTTTGTTTGTTTGTTTGTTTGTTTGTTTGTTTGTTTGTTTGTTTGTTTGTTTGTTTGTTTGTTTGTTTGTTTGTTTGTTTGTTTGTTTGTTTGTTTGTTTGTTTGTTTGTTTGTTTGTTTGTTTGTTTGTTTGTTTGTTTGTTTGTTTGTTTGTTTGTTTGTTTGTTTGTTTGTTTGTTTGTTTGTTTGTTTGTTTGTTTGTTTGTTTGTTTGTTTGTTTGTTTGTTTGTTTGTTTGTTTGTTTGTTTGTTTGTTTGTTTGTTTGTTTGTTTGTTTGTTTGTTTGTTTGTTTGTTTGTTTGTTTGTTTGTTTGTTTGTTTGTTTGTTTGTTTGTTTGTTTGTTTGTTTGTTTGTTTGTTTGTTTGTTTGTTTGTTTGTTTGTTTTCTCTGTGAGAAGCACTGTTCTTTTCCCGTGGCTTGAGAAAGAAAAATGCAAGGGGTCATAGAGTAAAATGAACTGCCTTGACTGCTTAGGCAAAAAATATTGTGTTATCTTTTCCCATAAAGCCCGTAATTTTAATTACTTTCTGGCAATATACAGATTTTGGTGACGCTGGAGTTAATGCCACTAAATCAAGAGGCTTTTTCTATTTTGAAATATGGGAGAAGTATTTCACTTAATCTATCCAAATGTTAGATATGATATGCCCAGAAAAAACTTAGTCTCTTAGTCTCTTCTTGTCTATTACATTTTATTATCAAGATTATTTTGACTCCTTATTAATAATCAATACTGACATGATGATATGTAAGTATAGCTCCCTGCTTTGGAATAACATAGGTCTGTGACTTGGAAGCATCCTTTCTAGCGGTTACAGCTGGAATTGAAAAGACCTGTGTTTTTTCTGTCATCTTGGTAGTAAAATCTCTATGACTTGGACCAACTCTCTTTACTTCTCTGAACTTCAGTTTTTTCCATATAGAAAAGGAGGGGAGAGCTAATAGATAAAGGTGCTTAAAATGAACCTGTAAGAATCAGATATGACTTGTTATTAATTGCCTAAGAAGAAACATTTCTCACATGGGCTTTGGCTGTTGTGCATCCTATTCTAGCTTCCATAAATTTGTGGGCAGAAAGAACGCCGGCAGCTGGCTCCATATTCTAACACCAATCCACCTCACACTATTGAGAAATTAGGTTTTGACTGGTGAGGGTTACAGGCATAGATGCAGTATGTTCACTGCATGAAACACAGCTAAAGGAAATGAGCAACTTAGTAAATGGGCGAATCCTGCATTGCCTTCAGATTCTGACACAGCCAGCGGGCAGAGTCCCAGCTAACATGTATTTCCAGAATCCATCCCTGAGGAGAGTAAGGGCAGGAATGTTTGGTTAGCATTCAGATCCGAGCAGAAGATGTAATGTTCTCACTGAATGCCCATGACACAGAAGAGTTTTTAACTACCAGCTCTGCCAACATCCGTCTCTGTTAGCTGAGGGATTCAGAAAGAAACAGGGACTGTGAGCCTGACCAAGAAACAGTGAATATGCTGCCAAGCTTTCATTTTCCCAGAACTTCAGCCTTTCCCTGCTTAATAAGGTAGCCATCACCTGTGCCTCAAACCCTCTGCCACACTGGAAGCGTCAAAGGCATAGAAATAGAGATCTCAATGCCATCAGAATACTGGAAATATGGAGACTGACTTTCTTTGGGCTAAAAATTGCAGACTATTTGCAGTATAAAAGCTGAAAATGATGAAAACACCATCTTTGAAAGGATCGTTTTGGTAGCTAGTTACTAGCCCATGATGACTTTTGGTGTCTCTTGGGGATAAGAAGAGGAGGAAAGTATGCCATTCAATTACATTTGTTAAAGACCACAGGTCCATCAATTCCTCATCATAGTCAACAATACGAATGGCAGCTGATCGATCCAAAATACTCAGAATAAACATGCAACTTCATCTCCACTTTAACTTCAGTGCAGTCTGGGCACTCTGTCTGGGCTTAACGCCAAACTAGCTGGGGTCAAAACCGCGAGCACTCCAAGAACTGATGGATCTGTTCTCTTATGCTCTTGTTATCCCACTTTCTCCGACAGACAAAGAAGATATGGGTGATGACCAGAAAATGCTATTTTCAGTGCATGATTTCTTCATCAGGTAGCTAGCTAGTCACTTTGATCTTCCAAAGCAGTCTCATTATGACTGGCCTAAGTGTTTGCCTCTTAGCCTTTTGTAGTTAAAATATTATATTCGGAAACTCCCAGAAACTCAGAAATTATCTCCAGGTTGAAGTCCACCTCAGAAAGGTCACATTTGTTCCCAAGAGGCATAGCTGTCCTATCATGGTTGGAGAGAGGAGACTTCTATTTCTGAAATGGGCTGCAGATTCACTGCAGCACAAAGCAACACCCTCTTGACAAGTCAAACAAACTAGATTAATGAGACTGTTAAACACACACAATAATTTACTTCACTAGGGATTTGCAAATGCTTTGATGGATGTGAAGAACCCAACCCCTCACTTCTTTCCTACTCCCAGTACTCATTTTCAAATTTTATTATGCCATAGCAAGAGACGTTAGTGAGTCCAGTGGCACTGAAACTTAGCAGGCCTTTGTCTCCCTCTGTTAAAAGCAGCCGCTTTTCTATTATTGGCCCAAGCTATGATTATATAAATAAATATTGGTAAAATGTTTTTCTCTAACATTAAAAAAAGAAGAAAAAGAAATAGGAGGGAAACATCAGTGCCTGGGGATTTTGTTTTAAATCCAAAAGATCTCCTCTTTATTTGGATACATTTACAAAGATAAATACTTACAAGGACACATCACAAAGAAACTTGTTTATACCAAATCTGCTATTTAAAAATGCAAGTAAACATGAAACTTTTTTTTTACAGTAATTCTATTTAATTTGTATTCTTCTAAGATAGATGTTTACAATTGATTTGATTGCAGGCACTATCACACTGTGATATCTAATGCATATTTCTCTTTCAGTTGTAGCAAGTCTAATCATCCTACATTTGTCTGGGGCAACCAAAAAAGGAACAGGTATGTAAACTTCAGACTTTTTGTCAGATGTTATATTAGAGTCCAAAGTATGGATCTGAGTTGTTAGTTTAGTTCTTGAAATTTTTAGTAGTTCACCTACTTCCACTGTCTCTCCTTTGTTCATTTGTTTTGAGTATTTGTGCTCCTGTACACACACAAAAATCCAGCGGTACTTTTTTTAACAAGTTAGTGACCTGATCTACAGCTAGACTCAGCCTGACTCTAACTAAAGACTGTGAAGTGCCCCCTCTTTCAAATTGGGAAGTCCAGTTTGGGCACTGACCTATCTGCACTTAAGATCTTTTTGCTTGTTGAAGTAGAATTCAAAATCTGAAATTTGGTATCATGGGTGTGTTTGTGCAGGGTGTGGATAGAAAGAGGTTCTTAAAAGCCCTGGATGCTAAGTGTGGTGAGAGCCAAGCAGGGAGAGTTGCTAAGCACAGTGTATGTCTTTACTTGTGTCTGAATGCTCAGTCCCTGCGGGCCTGAATTCATCTCAGGAAATTAGGATCCGTGTTGTACTCAGCTTGGATACAGACCAGAAAGAAAAACGCTTGCAGAGCATAAGGCAGATCTCAGATAGTTAAAATCATCCTTGGAAGGTGCCTGTCTCCCTCCACTGATCATAAGAGGGAGCCTCAAATAACTTGGCTTTACACATCAGAGGCTCAAGTTAGACGGGATGTTCCTTGGGTATAGATACCTCATTCGGAACAAAACACAGGAGTCCTCTTTGGACACCTGTGTGAGGTCTAGAACCTACTATCCTTCCTTGTAATTCCAGCCTAAGTGTTTTTCTCTCTGAAGAATCCATCTTATTTTAGCCCACTTGTTAAAGCATGATGCCCAGGAAGTGATCCTTCATCTTCTTCAGCCTAAACAGACTCAAACCTTTGTCTCCAGGCTCTCTGCCCATGTGCAGAAAGGAGTGCAGGAGTTTCAGGGCTAGCAAGAAAGCAAACAGGAAGGTCTGACTCTGCTCTCTGATGATTCACCTAAGAGGAGGAAAGTTCTGGGCTGTGATTCCTGGCCTCAGAACTATTTATTAATTTTACAGCAAACAGCAAGATAAAAATAATCTATGAACCAGAATCCAGGAATTCCCCCGTCTATCTCTGTCTGGTGAATATGGAGTCAAGCTGCTGCGAATTTAAAACAACTTGTATATTCTATCATAATTCTGTGGGGTTTTTCTTGATTTTGTGACTCTGATGTATTCCTATGCCATGGCACGTAGCTTGCTGATAGAGCACATGCTTGAGCCTTTTGAGATATATGAGTGGTAAATTCATGTTTCCCATTTCTTGAGCACGTGCTTTCCAAACAAGGTTATTATTTAAAAAGCAATATAAATATGTCTTCCCCTAGACATCCAAGCCTCTTCTCTGCGTTGAAAAAATGTTTTAAGAATTATATGTTTGTACCCCTAAAGAACAGCCTCATTTTCCCCCAGGTCAATGATCATACTCTTAGTCTCAACAGGAAAAAGCTGAGGCCACTGACAAAAGGGACTATTTTATTCTGTCAGAGAGTTCTAAGTGTCATAGGGACATAATAATTTGTGACCTAATTATATAATGCTTAATGTGATTGTTTCACAGAAAAGCAAACTACTTCCGAAGGACAGAAACCAGTGCAGTGTGGAACTTGGACAAAATATGCAGAAGGAGGCATCTTCACTTCTCCCAATTACCCCAACAAGTATCCTCCTGACAGGGAATGCGTCTACATTATAGAAGGTGACCAGCTGAAGAATCTTTATTTCCTATCATCAATTGTATAAAAAAAAGTGTTTTATTTTATTATATGTGAAGAGTTGGTAAAGCCTGTATCATGATAAATCTTTTCAAGACACAAGATTTAAAGAAGCTCTATCTCTGCACTTTTTCTTTTTCTTTTTTTTTTTTTTTTTGTAAAAAATTTAAAAATTTTGTATAGCATACCAAGAAATACTGGAAAATACTTGATTTATTTCCTGACATCACTCATAAATTAGTTCAGGTGGTAAGTATGCATGAGTCACTTAGTAATAAAAACAGTATAATTTATTTCAGGACATTCAGAGAATGAATAGAACCTAAAATGCTGTAACATGACAGAATAAAGAATATTTTAAAATGAGTAAAAAAAGTGAATACAGGAAACAAAAATGCTCTTGAATTTCATATAGATATTTTAAACTTATCATAACTGAATCAGGGATGACAAGCATAGCTAAGCGAAGTACAGTAAAGAAAGTAATACAAGAAATATCTGTATAGTGAGTGTAAAAATTATTTTCCATGCAATTTTTCATAAGAAACAAAAATAAATGAAAAAATCCAAAACCAAAACAAAACCAGAAAAGAATAAACTTTAACACCAAACAGCTGTAAGACACAGTTTTTAAAGAGTAGACAGTTGCAGGCATGGAGGTGATGTAAGAAAGGCTAGAGGTGTATTACAAGCAAGTTACGCCATTTCTTTTCATCAGTCTTAGCACAATGGATGTTGAAGGGATTGTTGTAAAAATGAATCTGTGGAAAGTAACAGAGATTAGATACTGTCACAGCTTAGTAGCAGAAAAGATGAATCAGGTACAGAATGGTAAGGCATTGGAACCAGGAAGATTCATTCATGAGTTGTGAAAACATGCAGAATACAACACTGACGCTTGTTCTATCCATGCTTGGTTGGGCAGAATTATTAACTACAAATGATGGAAGCAGGAATTACGAAAATATTTATTCTACTAAAGATGCAGGTAGTATCAAGAGAGATTTCCAAAGGTGTATAGCTGATTCAAACTGAATTAGCCGCTTTAGAACCCCCGCTAGGCCCTTTTAGAAACCAGTCTTTCTTTCCAAATCTAGTGCTGAGTTACTAAAATAAATATATTTCATAAAAACCTTCCAGGGAAATGATGGATAGTAAATGTCGTATGTATTGTTTAGGAAAAAAAATCACAGCAAAATGACTGAGATCTCTGAATTCCACTTTAGTCTAGGTAACCTGACTGAAGTCAGAAGTATAGAGGTGATTATAAATCATGGAGTCAAACAAGCCCTTTAAAGAAAATTTATGCTTGTCCAGTCTTCCCACTTGAATCTGAAATTTAAACAGATGTATGGTAAACATTTAAGTTCTTTCATAGTTTAGTAATTGATTTAAAATAAAAATAGAATTTTAAAAAAAGATAAATGTATAGATTCAATACGTACTACCTAGCGTTATACTTTTTGTTAGAATTATGTTACCAGACTCAGGTCTTTTGCATATCTTACTCAAATTATCTTTCTAACTTTCCTGTGAGGCTGGGAAGAAGGAAGCCTATTTTATCTTCAAGGATCTGAAACCCAGAGAAATATTTTATCATTAAAGAGAAAAGGTGTGAGGAAAAAAAAAAAATGACCATTTTTGTAAACCTTAGCCCAGCGTCTCATGCCATAAGGTGTTCCTCCTCTTAGCAAGAAGGTGCCTGAAAACCCTTTATTGTAAAGACCTTTGTCTTTATTATAGTAATTAAGTACTTACAAAAATATAGTTAATAAGCTGAAAGGTGGCAAAATACGCTGTTGCAATAACCTAAGTTAGAATAGCCAAATTGGAAATGTCTAAGAACAATTTAGGAAGGAAAGATTTAATCAACCAACTTCTATCATGAAGATGAAATTCCACATTGACAAGTTTGGAGCAATGTATAGTAAAAAGAGTAATCTGAACTCAACAGACATCTTGTTATATTTTATGGGAAAAATCAATCTGGCAAAATGTTGCAGATAATTTCTTATGACATTGATATTTTCTGCTTCCTCTCCAGCCATAATCAACAATTTGGACTGCAATTGGGTATTTTAAAACCTATGATGATAGCAGCTCTATCAGTATATAATTTGATGAGAACCATGCATTTTGCACAGCACTTTCAGCTCTGATCTACCATGTCTATTTCTAGCTTCTAAAAAGATCAGGAATAGTTATGTCTGAAAAATGTCACAAAAATAAACAGAGATGTAGTAAGATGTCTGAGCAATGATATTTTAAAAAGTGGCAGTTTTCAAAAAAAGCAAAAGGAGAAACACTGGAGGACAACAAAGATTACTTTGTAATTACAGTCAATTATTTGTCCATATTTATTCTTTTTACAACATATAAAAATGGCAGAAAATGATAAAGAAGGCTAGCTCGTGAAAACTTTTCCCCATATCTTTTATATTCTGTGGCACTCATTGGCATAAGGTATTGAAGTTAAAGGATTGCAAAAAAAAAAAAAGGATTATTTATTTTACTAATAGCAATATCTCTGAGGTCAGATAACAATCTATGGAGTGGATAATCCTTGCTAATCCAGGACATAAACATGCATTCAATTTTAGAGTAAGACAGAAACATGTCCATATGCGTCTCATTCCTATATTTGTTACTGAGATTCCAATACGCTTCAAATAGCTTCTGGCTGCTGTTGAATACCAAATACCAAACTAGGGGGACTGTCGATATGATCCGTAATAGCATTCCCACATTGCTATCTCCCATTTGTATGTCTTAGAGAGTTCAGCATACTAGGACTGTCTATACCATACTGACAGCTGTATGATGTGAGTTTAAATACATATACCAATCACCAGGTTCCTTCCTACCTGCCTGCTTTCGTTCCTTCATTTTTTGCTATCAAACACAATCTAGGGCAAATTCTGACGGCTTCCCTCAAACACAATTCCTACCGACTTTAGTGGACTGGACTGAGGACTCCAGCATGTAGTGTGTTGTAATAAAATTGAATTTCATCTTATGAAACAATTTTTTCCCCCACATTGTAGCTCATTTTAAATGTATGCAAGCCTTTTATCATTTCAAAATTACTTTGGTGAAGTAAAGGAGATGGCAAAAACTGCCATGATCATAGACTGTTTCTAAAAGAGAAGAGGATTTCTGACTGCAGAGGCTTCTACCCTAGCAGTCAAAGGCATAAGCAGATCAAACAGCTAGAAGTTTCTTTTTCTTTTCCTTTTTTTTTTTCTTTTCTTCTATTTTAGTAGTAATACAATTAACTATTGGAACAACTAGGAATGTTAAGTCCAAACTGGATGCCTTTCTAAAAGAAATCCTTTAGGTCATCCAGAAGTCATGGACTCAGTACAAAAATTATAATGCCATAGAGGAGCTTCTGGTGAATCCCATCTGCCTTTCAAAATGCATTGAGAATTTGTTCTTTTTTTTCTTTCAGTCTTATTGGGCATATAGAAAACGTAGGAAATAGCTGAGTGTACACATTAAATTCCCTGTTGGGCCCAATTTCACCCTTGTTTCGCATATTCCTGACTCTAACCTGGCAAAGTTCACAGCTGCCCAGAACAACCGCAGCACTGGCAGCATTAGCCTTTGCCAGACTGCAGAAAATTTGGCATGTGTGCTCCAAAGGGAAATTTGCACAGGAGATTTTGTAGGAGCAAAGGCTTTTGTTCGTGTTAAAAATATTTGGGGAGCGGCATAGTCATGCTTTACACAATATATCTTAAGAATTTGTCTGGAAATCCTGTAAGTGAAATACTTGTAAGATTTTATCAATTTTTCAGTTTTTAATAATTAAATGTTTATTTATAAATATAGGTATGGACTAGAATTGCTTTACAGAGATATGAAATAAATCTTCCACATTATATGTTTGTGGACATTTAGAGTTAGCTCTCTTGAAGGTCTTGATGTTTTCACTGAAGACCATTAAACTTTTTAATCCTAGATATTTCACAGGTGTTAGAAAATGATCATGTATCCCTGTACGAAAAATCTCTGCTCAAAGTCCTTTTGTATTTCACAGTGATTTTTGTGTTCAAAAAGTTTTCATCAAAACAAGAGAAGAATCCTCTTTTAAAAGGAGGTTAATATATTATTAATATTATTTCTTATAATAAATAATAGCTAGACAACCAGAAAGACCAAGGATTATTGAAAACTATTAGTCATGTAGCAGTTCAGATAGGTGGGGGTAAGTGTTGAGTTCAATGTCTCATTTCCATGCAGTCTGGTAAATTGAAACAGATTTCTCTCTTAATTTCAGCTGTCACTTACACAGACTTAGAAGCTGATCAGAATTAAAACCATAATTGTGTGTTTTTGCTGCAACTGTTCTTCTACCGCAAGTTGGAACCCAATGCCTTTTTTTTCAGTGAATGTAAAATCTCAAGACAGCACTTGTGTAAGATAATTAGATGAAAAATATGACAAGACATGCAAGCATTAAGTAGTCTTTCCATGGTATTAAACATTTTTGAAGAAAGATAATTGAAAACTAAATATGGAAGATTATTGTAAAATAATTTTATGAGACCGCTTCCATATATTTCATTTGGACTTGACAACAACTTTTCCTGATATTGTAGCCACAGAAAGCATTCTGAAGATGTGAATGGGCTTTATCTGTGAATAAGGATACCAAAAATGACCTCTCTATCCCTCCTTTTCTGATTAAATGGCCAGATTCCAATCCAGTCTGGAAGAATTGCATATTCTGGGCTTTTTGTTTGTTTGTTTAGTTTTGGTTTTGTAATAATAATACATTATTATTAGTCATTATTCTGGACTTGTTCTCACTGTATTTCTGTAAGTTTTACTGTGACCACATTTGCACACACTTTGTTGCAAAAGCTGTGGCACAGGATGTGTATTTATACAATACCTGTTTGTTCTAGCTTGCATTTGGCAAAGAAACCCTGTGCTAAAGCCAGAGTATAAGTCTGAAATGATACCTTTTTCACAAAAAGGAAGTTAAAGTTGGGAGTTTGAATTGTGTGTTTTCATCCCTTACGGTCATTTCCAGGAAGTTTTGAATAATTTTGTTTCTTAGGTAGGTTATTGCAAACAAAACATTTAACCTTTAACTCTAAATATCGTACAAGATGAGGCACAGAGGTGCATTTAAAAACACATGATGAAAAGATGCATGGATGCGTGTATAGCATCCCTTCCTCCCTTTGCCCGATCTTTTGTGATCACCGCAGTCCTCACAGTTACAGAAACACAAAGTGTTACATTCCTCGGGAGAGTTAGGAGAAAGGACCTCGTCCTGTTTGGACTAGCTTGCAGAGCAGGCTGGGACACAGGCAGTACCTATACTAATACCTAAAACAGGTCAGGAAATGTTCACTGGCCTTAAGGCTGATAGGCACAATCACACACGTACAGAATAACTCCTTTCACCCTCCCGGTCAAGAGTACAGATACGAACTGCTTGCGGTGAATGGTCCTTGACTGATGCGAACCACCACATCATGCTTAAGAACGGGTTTTGGCAGTTCTCACTGTCACAGCCAAAATGGTGCCAGAAGGTGATTTCAACATTTAAGGAGTGTGAATGGTCAGTGGTCCAGCCCCCAAACTTGTTCCCCAGCCTCGTTTTATTTAGCAGTGGAGAAACGGTGCTAATGAATAGTCAATTCTCCTTTCTTATGTGGAGCAGCCTCTACACGTGGGAGCTTTGGGGGAAAGTAGAAACTCTTTCTTGAGTGCTCCTTGAGCTGATGGGATTCTCTCTGATCCTCTAGCAAGAACTGAGCTTCACTAGGAAAAGCCTCGTCTTGACTTTGTTGAAAAATAAATAAAAGCAGAGAAGAGTAAACTATAGTAATATTCTGATCATAAAACTAGTTTGTAATGTGAGATTCAGAGAGCTATGTGGAGGTTGTGGAAATTGTGCAGTTTTTTCTCAGGCCGTGCTTTCACTGAGTCAATAGATCGCATGTGTAACTGTAGGCCTGATTCTCCTTTACCCACAAAGACTCCTTTTATATTATATTGAGGCTATAATTGGCTTTAGGGCTCCTTTTCAACACCAAAAATCATACCAAAAAACTGAGCTATATAACTTAGAGGGGGCCTCATGCCCATTTTTATCATACGTTACATGAGTCTTGGATTCAGAGAAGACCTGTTAAGGGTTTAACTATGGGCCAGCACTTGTAAGCCTCCTCTTGGTATGAAATAGAGTAACACAGGAAGTTTATAAAGGACAAATGTGTTACATTAATGGCGTAAGCCTTTTTTGAAGCAGGTATCTCTTTGTTGCCGTGTTGCTGTTGCAGAGCAGCCATACACTGTGGTATGATGCTGTCTGACACTAACAATACTAGCAGAATTTATCTTCATATCTAGTTTACAACATTAAAACATTACAATAAAGCTTTAGGTAGGTTAATAGCATATTGTTTCAAATACATATATGAATAGTGACTATATAAGATTTTCAAGCTTTAATGAGCATTCTTAAGATTACCTAAAGTGTTGTCAGAATGGAGTTTCTGATACCTGACTCTGCAGTCCCTAGGTGAATGATGAGTAGTTCTCAACAAATCTCCTTAAATGGAATAAGAGCATACAAAATATGATCCCAAATTGAAAGGTGCTGATTGCTCTCTTCTGCCCTAGTATTTCTTAGTTAAGTTTCAATCAATATTTGTTATAAATATGTGAAGTCAAGGGTAGAAACATCTGAATAAAATTAATCGATGTATGTCTTCCTATTATTCAGGCTTTTACTATAACCTAAAAGATCTACTTTGGTCTTCATACCTCACCAACAGTAGCATTAATAAGATCTTTACAAGCTTTATTATCTGATTTTAATTTTGTAAGGTTTTTTCATACTTTCAAAGTAGTTTCATTTCCATGGACTGTGAATTTGGTGCAATTAAATGTAAAGTTTTAGGTTTTGATTTTGCTATTGAATTTGCCTGGCCACAAAGATCACAAATTTCCTGTAAATTGTTATAAATAACAACAAGCCAATAGTAAGTACTTCCCTAAATGTGAATTCCTTCAAATTGAGAACAGTTGATAAGGTTTCTTTCTTATGTTAAATTAAATATTTCAGTAAATATCAATCACCCAATTATATTAACATTGAAAGTAAAGCTATTAAAATAATCTTCTCAAATAACATGTTTTATTAACTTGCTTCTTTAGTGCCTCTTATAAAATGAGGCTGTATTTATTTACATGAAATAGTTGTAAATGGGATCTGACTGTGTGTTCTTATGTAAAGATTACAAGATTTACCTAATGTCTTCTTACTTAGTTCATCTTAAATAGTCTCCCTTCTTGTGTGAGTAATGAGCTCATCCCAAAAGTTTCAATTGAAAACACTTCAAAATACATACAAGATGCAGGTTCTGGTCACACTGATAGTTTTCCTATTATTCCCGAGGAAAGAAATGGAAGGATACCGACTGCTGGAGTGGCAGCAGTTTCCATGTTAAGCTTATGCACTCAGCTTGGAGTTTGATCTTGCATGTTTTCATGTGAAAAGAATGGTAACTCAGGCAAAGCTCATCACAATTTCAACCTCTTCTAAGACGTGTAAATTGTAGGACATGATCCCATGAGAGGCACAGCAGGCAGTGACACAAACAACCCTTGCCTTAGCAGAAGGCTTTGTGAGCAAAAGGCTATATTGCACCATGATCTAGACACTGAAGGCATACTTTTTTTGCTATGGACAGGATTAAATGTAGGAACAGTGTACCCCAGGGATGCTACATGTTAAAATTTGTAGACAAAACCATGATTTTTTTTTTCTCTTTTTAAGAAAAGACTGTAGTTCAACCAGTAACTATTTTGCTTTATACAGGAGATGCCAGGGAATATTTGTTTTAGAGATCATTCTGACTGCCACTAGCCTTAGTATCTATGAATAAAGATGTTTTTTATCTTTAATTAAGTGACCACTATAAAGTTTCTTCAAGGTTTTCAGTAGAATATTGTTTGCTCTTTAGTTAGATGTTAATTTTGCTTCATCCTTATCTAGTTTCTTAAGTGAGAATTCACTACACTTGTCTTTATGTTTCAAATGATAAGTAATTCTGAGTATAAGCAATTACACTCAAGCTTGTCATTGACTGCAATACATATAGGAACAGAATTTGTCCTTCTTACTATAGCACAGTTCTGATCAGTTTTTTCTTCACCTTTGTGAGCACTAGATAAAAAAGTATTCTGATTAACATTTCTTCCCCCCAAATATAAGAAAACGCTGGTTTTCCAGATGCATAAGTTTCTTAGAAAGATTTTGTGTTTGAACCAATTGTTCCTAAACTGTATTTTGCTTTACATCATAGCTATCTTAGTTTTGCTAAAAACTGCTGTCATGAGCACTTTTTTAAAGGAAAAGAATAGACAAGTAAGCTGATGGTGTAAAATCTATAAAAATATAGATGTACTAATTTTCAAACAAGTTTTTAAGCAAAATATTAAGATGCATACAACATATATATAGTTGATTTTCATTTAAGTTTGAAGGGTTTTGGTTTAGAAAATAATAAGATAATTTTCTTTTCATCTCTAGCTGCCCCTAGACAATGCATTGAACTACACTTTGATGAAAAATATTCCATAGAGCCTTCTTGGGAGTGTAAATTTGACCATATTGAAGTACGAGATGGACCTTTTTTTAAGATGCATACAAAATATATATAGTTGATTTTCATTTAAGTTTGAAGGGTTTTGGTTTAGAAAATAATAAGATAATTTTCTTTTCATCTCTAGCTGCCCCTAGACAATGCATTGAACTACACTTTGATGAAAAATATTCCATAGAGCCTTCTTGGGAGTGTAAATTTGACCATATTGAAGTACGAGATGGACCTTTTGGCTTTTCCCCAATCATTGGACGTTTCTGTGGACAGCAAAATCCACCCATGATAAAATCCAGTGGCAGATTCCTATGGATTAAATTTTTTGCTGATGGTGAGCTGGAATCTATCGGGTTTTCTGCTCGGTATAATTTTACACCTGGTGAGTACAAACCATCACACTTTGATAAAAGAACTTAGCATAGTAACCTTGCTAATGATGTATAATTGTGCTGTTGAATAATATCTTTAACTGGAACTATTTTTATTATCAAGGAAAGTATTAACAGATAGGAAAATGATAGAAGGTATATACATATCTTTTGCATAATAAGTAAGGCTTATTCAAGGAAGAAATTTTCGGTACAGGTTTGTCCAAGATGCATGTATTCAGCCTCTGCAGTTTTTAAAATAATTGTTTTCAATCAAATTCTATTATAGAAAATAATTTAAAATGTTTCATGGGAAGTTATGTGTTTTATGCTTGATTGTTACACTGTGCATTCTTTCAAAATGATCATTGATAAAGTATTCTAATAAAAAAAAAAAGTAATGATCTCTGAAAATGTCATCATTGCTTTTCCACTTCACCAATCATTTCCCCAACTGAGGAATGGAATAGTTCTCCATTTTCAATAAAGCAAACTCTTACAAGTATTGCCAGAGGAAGCATGAGGTTCAAGTAGTAAAATGTATTACATATTTTTGTAAAAAAGATGTAAATCTTAATTGTAATTGTACAATTTTTCATTGTCACTTTTAAAATTTAATTTATTAAAGTAAAACAAAATTCATAGTCATACTTTTCATTAATTCCTCTCCTCCCCCCATTTATTAACAAAAGATTGCTGATTTTAAATTTCATTTTTGGCTGCGGCTACACTATACTGCACTGCACTGCTGGATTTGACGTAGTTCTGTACCTTCTTATGTATTGAGTGATGAGTCATACCTTAATATAGCTCGCTCTAAAGCACTGTAATTATTATGTAATTTTGTCAATTATGTCACTATTGTTTCAGCTAAATTGTTGTATTAGGTGGAACAATATTCTTTAGAATATCTGCTAAAATTAACAGGCCCCAAATTCTGCTTGCTTAATTATTCCAGTAGCATCATAGAAGATAGCAGGACTACTTGAATGTTCCTCTATGTGGTTTTCTTTCCTTAATGCAAGGAAAATAGTTATAAAACTACCCAGCATATTTTAATTTTCTTTTAAGTCAAAGATACTGTCTTCCAGAGGGTAAATATATTTGGAAGGTTCAAACAGCAACAGAACACAGAATTTCTGTAGCAAATAACCTGACAGCCAGATACATGTATCTATGTAATGCAAAGACAATGGATGAAATTTTACTATATCCACACATACTTGTGTCTGAAAAGTGAGTTAAATTTTTATCTCATTTACCATGGCTCTGTGGGCTTTTGCCATTTTGCTCCTCACCTCTGCCAAAAGTTCTTTGCTTTAGATTTCATGTCCTTCTTGTTTCAAAAGGTTATGTATTATGGTTGAAAAGATGTTCATAGCACAATCTGCAGCTTATTCTCTCTAAAAAACTCTCAACTGAAAAACAATTTCATGGACCATGTTTTATCCTCATTCCTTTTCTACTGATGTAAGGTGGGTTTCTACACAGAGATCAATGCTGGTAAATTGCTATAGCAGCATAAATTATTCTAGACTTCAGATGGAATAGCTATGTCTTTTTTCTTTTTTCTTCCTTTTTTTCTTTTTTTTTTTTCCTCCATAGATTTCGGTAGGAAGCTCTGCAAATGATAGAGGGTTTTAGGAATATTGGCCAAAATGAGAATATGATTAATCTGACAAGTTCAAAACAGCACTGCTGCCTCCTTGATCACCAGTAACAGGAAGCAATTCTCATTCTGCATGATTACTTGACCAGTCCTTTATTATGTAGGCGTGCATAAGACTTGACATTTTGAGATCTGTTGTCCAAATGTGTCCAGTGGAAGGGGTCACTGTCAACTCATCAAAAAGAGTGATGGCTTTCAAGAGTGTATAAAAGAGTAGCATAGAGAGGAATTACCTCCAGAAATTATCACCTAAACCATCTAGATCCATCTTGGGTAGTGACAACTTACGAAATTAAGTTATGAACAGAGATCAGAAGAAAATTTTCAGCTAACCTCTCTTTAAAGAATGTCAAGAACATCAAGACAATGATCCAAAGCAAAGACTCATTTGGAAATTTTGGTGTCTAGAGCAGCTGAACACTCAGGGGAGATGTAGTTTGTTGCATCTGTCTCACTGGGTACAAGCAACACACCCTGCCTAACTGCAGCCTGCATAGGAGGCTTTTTACATCCTAGTGACACGTGCAACAGAGCTATTTCTTTAGTACCAGCAATCTTTGATGCTCCCCACCTGTGTGGTCCCCACCGACCCCTGAAATGTTCCTCAGCTGCCACTTTTGCATTCGATATCTTGATGGAGGTTCTGGTTTGTTGATAAAGACAAGAAATGTCATGTTGAATGTGTGGATGTGTGGCAAAATTTAAAAAAAAATTACTTAAGTAAATTTGACTAAATTGAAGGTGAAACCATTTATTATTATTTGAATGGTACCTGGAGAAGCAGGGAAAGAAATTATTTACTATGTCTCCAGGGTGTCCAAAACCAGCTAACTGGAGGAAGTTAAAAAAAAGATCAATTTGGGTATCAGGAAAAATGTTCCAATGAAGTTCTATTAGTCTGTGCAAATGGAAAGAGCCCTGTCACCTGAGGCATCTTAAATCTAGTTTGGACTAAGTCCTAAAAAAAGAAATTATATAGAACAATCCTAAGGAATAGACTAATATTTTGCAATTACTAGAACTTTTCTGTTTAATAAGTTCTTTGACTCCTTGGTATTGAAATGGTTGGAACTCCATCCACCGATACAAAAGTCCAGTGGAGTTTCAACAGTCTCTCAACAGGCTGGGGTTTCAGGCGTCTTGAAACAAACATAATTCGCTTGCCATAAATTCTGTTCCATTTAAATAGATTTTTTTTCAGAGCACTTTTAAGCACTCTAAAAGGTGAGATCTAGCAGAAGAAACAATTTTAATGACAAATCCAGAACTACACACAAAACCAGCACAAACACACTTAGTAAGTGGTAAAACTACTGAAAATTTTGCAAAAAAGTTCCTTATTAAGAGCATAATTTATGCTTTAATTTTTGTGATTTTATAAATTATAAGGTTAAGAAAGATGTGGTTGAATGAAGTTGTGTGTATGGTACAAATATTGACTATTTTAAATGTCAAAACTCTGGGCTAAGCGAAGAAGTTGTCTTTTTCTTTTATGTTATTACAGCTGAATACTGGTAATAACCAAATGCGATTTGGTTGTAAAGTAAATTTTCAACCATTTTGTATATATGAGAGCTTATAAGCAAAACAAAACATATTTACTCTTTATGTACTATTTTAATTTTATTTTTTGTTAAATGCTGATATTAACTGTGATCATTTATAAATGGAACTATCTGAACCTATGAAACCTTCATAAATATATACAAATATTTTGTTGGTATTTTTTTTAAATCTCATGTATAAAAGAAATAACATTTCAAACTACAATATTTTCAGGTTGCTCTGGTTCATTTTGAATGCAAATATGATTGGCTAGGGAAAGACACATGACACAAGTCACGTGACAATTCTTTCTTGCTTTTGTTTTGTCATTCTTTGGGTCATTGAAAGGCCTACGCCTGAAATTTCATTTCACATCTCTGGGTCCTTGGACTCAATCTGTAACCCTATTTTTTTCCTAAAAAGTTTTCTGAAATTGTGTTGAATAACTATTTTGTGTAGAAAATATCAAGTATTACTTCAAGGGGACTTATTCTTTATGCCATTCTTTAAAATGAGTCAATTTTTTAGTGTAGACAAGGATTCAGACACAGAGAGGATATGTTTATTTGAGCTTTCTTACTCAGCTAGAATAATCAGATTTCTGTTTATCCTGGTCCCTGATTTTGCAGGACAGTGGCTTAAGATAGCACATCATTGCTTTCAGTTCCTTCACTTAGTAGAAGCCATCTGTGTTTTTATTTAGCCTCATTAATATAAAGGTCAGTCAGTAATGTTTTCTGTTCAAATGCCTGATAATGGGGAAAAAAAAAAAGCTTTATACTCTTATGTCCTGAAAAGTGGAGCGTAAAACACCGTCTAATCAGAATAATGGTACTTTTACATCCTAATTGCAGTGGTACAAGTAGCTGTAGAATGTCAGAGTAATAGAATAATGACATCATCTATCTTGAGGAAAAGAAAACCAACCCGAATTCTTCCTGTTTGGGGAATTTCCATATTTTAGGACTGATGAAAAATTTAATGTGAATTTATTAAATTCAATCACAGTTCTAAAGAACTTAGATAAGATATTGTCAAATCATTTTGCCATCTAATGTCCATGTCCTGCTTTGTGTGTATTTAAGTAAGGGGTATTTCCCAAGCATCTGGGACAGCTGAATACTTGTGGGAGCTTGCTCACTTGCTTTTATTTATTTGTTTATTTATTTTCCTGTTCTCTTCTGAAG